ATTTAGTAGCTCGAACTAGACTTAAAATATTTTTGTAACTTTTTTTGTATATATTTCCGTTGTTACTGTTGTGTTGATCTAATTATTTTTTTCGCGTAAGGTTTTCAGACTGTACTTGAAGAGGAGCTCCAGAACAAGTGTAGTGCTATTGAAACTTTAGAACGTAGCAGGACAGAATTAGAGGAATTGCGTTGTGCAGAGGAGGCAGCGTCAGAAGAAGTAGCTATTTATTGGAAACTATATTTTTGAACGGTATAGGCTCTTTGTAAAAAAATACACTGCTTTTACCAAATGCCCCGTTTTTCAGGCAGTGAAGGATTGGCAGAATAAAGAAAATGTATTGCGTACAGAAATTGCTGGATTAGAGAGTAAAATTAAAGATTCTGCGGAGAAAATTTCTACGGTTTGTTTTCTAATACTGATATAGGATGAGCTTTTCACTAGAGAAATTTTTCTTTGCTGAAAGGAGAATTGATAAAAAGTTCATTTTCTGTAAGATATATCTTTAATAGTTGAGTTTATGGTTCCTCTCCTTTCTTTATTTCCGATGCGTTTTTCAGTATCAGGAACAGGAGTCGACACTGAAGAAACAAATTGAGAGTTTCAAGAAAGACCTTGAATTAACTAATTGCAAACTAGCAAAGGTAGGCTCACAGTATTCTAAAGTAGTTTATTTTTGCGTGCGTCTTTTCTCAGTTTTAGTTTTGTAAATAATTTACTGTTATTTAGATGAAGGAAGATTTGACATCAGCGGAAGAATGTGCTGTTTTTTTAAAAAAAGACTACGGGGAGCAACTTAAAGAAAGAGATGCCATCTTGGTAATTTTATTGACTTCTTAAATTGTGTGAGACTTGTCTGTCTAGTAGATGGTTAAATAAGCTAGTTCTTTATTCTATCCAGGAGCGGTGTCGGAAAGATTACCTTGACAAGGAGTCGTCTCTTAAAGAGCGCTTGAACGAACAAGTTAATAAGAACGAAGAACTCAGAGCCACTTTGGCAGAAAGTGAAGGAGTTGCGCAGCAAAATAAAGATATTATCGAACAGCTGAAAGTGGAGTTAAAGAATGTGGTCAAAGAACGAGAAGGTGCCTTTGCGTTATTGCAGTGCTAGATACAAATTTGCATTTAAAACTTTACGAAATTCTGAGTAGTAGCTGTCGCTTGTACTAGGCTAACAATTCCAGCAGGCACGTATTACTAGTCATTGTTTACAGATATGGCGAAGAACTTGAGTAGCTACAGTGAGGAAAGGAAAACATTATTGGAACGGTAATTTTTTTAGAGCTGACGTTATTTGTAGGATTTATTATCTGGTTTAAGTGTTCTGCACGAGAAACTTCTTTAAAAAATTTGTAATCTTGTTGTTCAGTTCGTGCACCTCTTTAAATGGCCGCATTAATGAGAATTTTTCTTTATTTTGCATTTATTTTGACCTAATCAAATTTTTTGGAAAAAAGAGCACTATTTACCAGTAATTTTGCAAGGTGTTTGAATACGGAAAGTGATTTGGATTTTGAAAGAGAACGGGCTGCAGAAAATAGACGTCGCTTCGAAGAAGCTTTGTCTGCAATGCACGAGTTAGGAAGAGCAAACCAAACATTGCAGGTACCCAGTAAATTTGTGTGCTTTATTCTGCTTCGGTTCTTCAGCGTTCTCTTTGCTTGTGAAAGTGATATTATTAGTGTGAACTAGTTGGTGACGTGCGTCTGCTGCTAAGTTCCGGCGTTGCATTAGTAGAATTTAACTAAGTTGATATGTAATCCGAACAGTCAGTAATATAGTACAATTTCTTTTGCGTGATTTCTGGGAGTTTAGATTTTTTAAAAGAAAAAAATTTTTTTTTAAAGATTTGCTTAAAATCTTTACTGGTTTTCCTTTTACGCGTCACTTTGATTAATTTTCATTTCAGATGGACATCTCGAAACAGTTTAGCAGGAAGTGGCTTGACGACACAGAAGCAATAAGTTGCAATGCATGCCAAAAACTATTTTCTCTTACTGTTCGTAAACACCATTGCAGACTTTGTGGACAGATCTTCTGTGCCTCTTGTTCGTCACGTACTGCTCAAATACCGTCTAGTAAAAACCCTGTCAGAGTCTGTAATGCTTGTTACGAAGAAATTTTGAACAGATAAGTTTTTATTAATCTACTTTAAAAGGGTTTTTGGGAGTAAATGGTTTTTTTGCTGTTAGGAAATAGTTGAAATTCTAGAAAAGTTGGTTTGTAGAATACAGTGACTGTTTATACAGTTTTGGTTTTTGTGGAAGTAAAAAGTTCTTTTCTCTAAGAGTGAGCTGCTTCTTGTAAAATTTTTAAAGAGTAGTTGCCCTTTCAATATTCTGTTGCTCATCTTTACCCAGTTAATTGTATATAATTTTTTTTTACCCTTTATGTGATGAGGAATAAGGTGGAATCTCTGGTTGTTTTTTTTTTCTTTTTTAATTTCTGATACCTTATGAATGAGAATCACTTAATGTATTGTTTCATCTACTTTTCATATCACTTCAGTTTGTAAGTGAATCTCTGAATTTTGTTAAAGAATTTTACAAGGTTTTACTGTGAATTTTTTTTACGTGAAGTTTGATATTGTGATTGTAAGCCATCAATGGTGTATTTTTAATCAATTAATTGATAGGTTTTGGAACTCATTCTCAGTAGCCTATTGAATCTTTAGTGTTGTGAAGAGCAATAGTAATTTTGCATTATAAAAGCATTGAGTATTTTTTATTGGAATTTTCATTTGGGTACTGTTTTTCTAAATTTATTCTCTGTACTTTTCTACTTAATAATACTACTCGGAAATTATAGCATTTATGACATTTTTGTCTGATTTTGTTTTTAATTTTATATTTGACTATTTGTTTACTGTACCTTTTGAAATTGGCAGTAACTTTCAATTGTGAAAAGCATTTAATTCAACCGTGCTTCAAAAATGCAGGAACTTATTAAACGCGTTTCATTTTCTTTTATTGGTCAATTTTTTATTGACAGCTTTTATTTGCGTTATTAATTTATTTTTTTCCTAAGTTGTTTTATGAGATTTCAACAGTATATTGAGGCTTAGGGTTTAAACGCTCTCTACATTTGATGGCGTAAATTGTATAGTATCTGTACAGTCTGTTAGAACAGATTCGGTTTCTTTGTGCTGTGTCTTTAAATTTTATGATTTCTGTATTTTTTGTTCCTAATAATGTGCAGTTATCTTATTGTGATGTTTCTTGCAACAACGTAACAAGATAATACTGGTACTGGAAAACCGAAGTTTCTTTTGCTTTAGTAGTCCAGACAGTTGTTTTAAATGGGAGGAAAGGGGGAGGGGGTGTCTGAACTGAAACAACGTGAACCTGTTGGATAAGACAGTAGTTTTTCTTTTTTTTTCTTTTGCGTGTCTTATGCTTGTCGCTGTTTTATTTTTCCTCAGAGTTTTAAAATGATCAAAGTGTAATCACGGGTTTTCTTATCGAAAATTGACTGTTCCTTAACAAAAGTTACAAAGACTGTTCTTATTTTTGCTAATTATATAAGTGAATTTGTAATTCAGTTTTATTTTTGCAATGTTCTTCAAAAGAAGTGCAGTATTATTGGAGTGTAGCTGATTTTTTGTTGAATTTGGCTTTTTTGTTCTGAACCTTATTTTGTTTCTAGAACCTCGTTTATATTTGTTAACTTTTAGATAAAGATTTTCATTTTCAGTCAGACAATAACTTGCTTCGTGGGTTGCGTTACAGTACTTGTGAATTCTTAGCCAAGTTTATCCATTTGAAACAAGAAGGTAGGGGACGACTTAAAAGAAATTGGTTGATTTTCATGTTTACTTTTAGAGTAAAAACTATTTTTTTGGCGTTGGTGAATCAAATGTTTTTTTTTTTTT